CCCGTCCTCCCCCCGCCTCTCCATGGCCCTCGGCGGTGCCCCCGTGTCCCCCCTGCCCTTCCCGGCCGCTCAGCATCCCCCGGAACCGCGGCCGGGAAGCAGCCCCGGCGCCAGGAGCCCGCAGCCTTGACCTTGGGGGAAGGAGACGCGTTGGGAGCAGCACAAGGCAGGAATTACAGCTGCAAAATTCCTGCGGGCCGGGCTGGGGGAAGGGCCCGGCTGCGATCCCTCCCTGCAGGCAGCGGGGAAAACACGGCCCCTTCCCGGCGGGGCTGCGTTCCCAAAGCCCGAGGAGCAGGAGGAGCACCTGGGGGAAGGTGTTCTCACAGGTGGATCCTGCTCCTCTGCCCATGGCTGGATCAGGCTCTGAGGAGCACCCAGAGCACCTGGAGGAAGGTGTTCTCCCCATGGGTGAATCCTGCTCCTCTCGTCATGGGTGGATCCAGCTCCAAGGAGCACCTGGAGAAAGGTGTTCTCCTCACAGGTGGATCCTTGCACCTCTATCCACGGGTGGATCAGGCTCCCAGGAGCAGGAGGAGCACCCGGAGGAAGGTGTTCTCCCCATGGGTGAATCCTGCTCTTCTTGTGGGTGGATCTGGCTCTGAGGAGCACCTGGAGGAAGGTCCTGTCCTCACAGGTGGATCCTGCTCCTCTCTCCATGGGTAGATCCAGCTCTGAGGAGCAGGAAGAAGGTGTTCTCCTCACAGGTGAATCCTGCTCCTCTCCCCAAGGGTGGATCAGGCTCTGAAGAGCACCTGGAGGAAGGCATTGTCCTCACAGGTGGATCCAGCTCGGGGGAGCAGGAGGAGCACCCAGAGGAAGGTGTTCTCCTCACAGGTGAATCCTGCTCCTCTATCCATGGGTGGATCAGGCTCCCAGGAGCAGGAGGAGCACCTGGAGGAAGGACCAGGAGCTGGAGGAGCGCTGGTGCTTCCATCCCTACCAAGTTTTCCATAACCTCACTCTGCAGCTCGCAGGAGGATCCCGAGGATCGCGGAGCCCCGGCGGGACACGGGGGTGCCGGGGGAGCTCGGGGACAGCTCGGGGACATCTCGGGGACCTTTTTTGGACACGGCGTGACCTCTCCGGTCTCGTGCCTCCCTCGCTTGGGCCGCTTCCGATCTGCTCCTTCCCAAGGAATTCGCTGTCCTTGGCAGGCTCGGCTGGGGCTGACGCTCCCGGCTCCCCCTGCCAAGGGTGGCTTCGGCCGCGTGAACCCCAGCGACACGGGGGACAATGCCACCGCAGCGGCCAGCTCACCTCCTGCCACCCCTGCAGCGCCGGCGAGGCAGGGGCTGGGAAAGGGGGTGGAATTCCAGCCGGGATGAAGCGAGGGGAGAGAGAAGGGAAGCAGGAGCGAGGCAGAGCAGAGCTGCTCCGGCTCAGACAGAACTCCCGGCAAGCCCGGCTGCTGGGCCGGCTCCAGGCAGCGCAGGGGAAGGTAATAGGAAGCAGATGGGCGATGCTCGGGGCCAAGAGGAAGGTTCAAGGTGCCTCCTAGTGCAGGGAAGAGGAATTTAACTGCTTTTAAAGATGCAGGGCCCGACGGCTTCCAGGTTTCTCATCCAACTTTTGCAAATTATGAGCTCAGGTGTCCTTTTTTTTTTTTTTTTTTTCTGAGGGAGAAGTAAATACAAACACAGATTTCTGCTTCCAGCTTTCCCCAGAGGGAGGGAATACTTTTAGTGCACCCCCTGCCAGGCCTTCCACTGACATCTTTCAGACATGGGAGCACTGGGAGCAGTGGAGAAGTGAGAGCAGCACCCCAGTGGGAGCACTGGGAACAGTGAGAAAGCAAGACCCCACAGCTGCACCATCCCAACAGCATTTCTGGTCTGCGTTATTTTAAGGAATGAAAGCTTCAAGGTTCTTTTATTCTTATGTAAAACGGGGAATTGGCACCACCCTATAATCATATTGGGGTTATCATGGTGCCACATCTCAAAGCTTGGTCCCTTTTTGGCCCCAGGTGCCCCCTGACCCTCCCAAGGGGCTGCTCAGCCCCACAGCCGCCCTGGCAGCTCCTACAAACAGCACCACAGGAGTTTCTGCTCCTCCAGCTGCTCCAGCCTGGGAGTTGTTCCACCAGGTCAAAGTTTATCTCTGGGGGAAGAGCTGTGAGCCCCAGCCTGGCCCCACGGGCCTTGTTTTCTATGGAATCCAACTAAAACACAGCAGGGACTGCAGGGGACTGGCAGGGGCTGGGGGCTGTGCCAGTGCAGCCAGGGCACTTGGCAACAGCAGCAGCAGAGGGGTTTTCAGGATTTGCTGGAAAAAGGACCCACATGGGTCCCCTGCTATCCCTGCCACCCAGGGCTCTCTCCTGCTGCTGGGCTCCCAGCTGCCCTCCAGGACACACAACAGCCCTTTAGCTCCTGGGTGCTGCTCCTAAAGTCACCTGAAGAGCAGTGCCCCTGTCACCTGCCACTGCTGCACTGTAGAGGTGATACCTCAGGTTTGAGCTTTTCTATTTTCAGATTCTGTGCTGCTTTAGTGTGTGGGTCTGGGTTCATATGAAGGATGGTGAGCTCCTGCATTTTGTGACCATTTTGGTTCATCTTGGGTGCAGCCCTGGCTGGGCTCTTGTGCTGCCCAAGGTGGATCCATTGAGGCCTTTTAATAAATCCCTGATTTATTTTTTAATTCTGTCTATTCTCTGTTCTAGCTCAGCCTTCACAAGGCATCAGAGTGGCACAGATTTTGGCTGTAAAGCCTCAGCTGGAATCAACTTTTACCCTTTCAGTGAAGACATTTTTCCTCATATCCAGTCTGAACACCTCCTGGGGCAATTTGTGTCTGTGTGTCATTGCTTGTTCCCTGGGACTAGAGCCCAACCCCCTGGCTGTCTCCTCCTGTCCGGAGCTGTGCAGAGCCAGAAGGTCCCACCTGAGCCTCCTTTGCTCCAGGATGAGCCCCTTCCCAGCTCCCTCAGCCTCTCCTTGTGCTCCAGAATTACCAAATCAAAGATCATGGAACATCCTGATCTGGAAGGGACCCTCACAGATGCTCAGCCCCCGCCCCTGTCCCTGCACAGCCACCCCAACAGCCCCACCCTGAGCAGCCCTGGCAGCGCTGGCCAAACGCTCCTGGAGCTCTGGCAGCCTTGGGGCCGGGACCATTCCCTGGGCAGCCTGGGCAGTGCCAGCACCCTCGGGGGCAAGAGCCTTGCCCTGAGCTCCATGCCAAGCCCTGCCACAGCTCCAGCCCTTCCTGGGCTCCTGGCCCTGTCCCAGAGCAGAGCTCAGCCCCTGCCCCTCTGCCTGCCCTGGGCAGGAGCTGCAGCCCCCCGGAGCCTCCCCCCAGTCTCCTGTCCTCCAGCTGAACGAGCCAAGGGCCCTCCGCCGCTCCTCAGAGCCTTCCCCAGCTCCGTGTCCCTCCTCTGGGCACTCTCCAACAGCTTTGGATCCTTCTGATCTCGTGGTGCCCGAAGTGCCCCAGCCCTGGAGGTGAGACTGCCCCAGTGCAGAGCAGAGTGGGACAGTCCCTCCCTGGCCCGACCAGCGATGTTCAAACCCTTCTCATCATCTCTACACCCCTGCTCCTCCTCGCCCCTCTCTCTGCCCTCCCCAGGGCCTGGCAGGGGCAGCTCCCTCGCAGCTGCTGCTGCATTTCTCTGTTATCTGGGGGGGTCTCAGCCCCTGCACCCCCGGGGCTCTGGGTGTTCCGTGCGTGCTCAGGTACACCCAGCTCCCGGCTCGCAGCTCCGGGCAGGTCCCGGCACGTTCCCGGGGATGGAACGCACAGCCCCGCTCCCCCAGCAGGCTGCTGCTCCCCCGGCACGGGCTGAGCACGCGGGGGATGCAAAACTGCCCGAGAGACCTCCCCGGCTTCCAGCAGGAGAACGTCCTGATAGTCCCGACAAAATATTTGGCTGGGCTGCCAAGTGAAAACATGCTGAGCTGCAGATGGCAGAAGTCTCCCCCCGCAGTCGCTGTGCCAGCACGACAGGACTTCCACTGGGAAGTCATTTCTCAGCTCTAGGGCAGCACTAGGGGTTAAACCCGCAGAAATCAGCGTTTTTGCTGCCAGAAGCATCTGCAAACTGCGAGAAAAGGGTTAAAGTCACAGGTCTGCAGAACACAGCATAAGAACTTGAGCCATAATCTGCTCTGCTGCTCCAAGTGTGGCCTCTCTGAGGCCACGGCGAGTGAAGAATCAGAAACACGGAGTTATCCCTGTTCCCAGAACCCTGCAGCCTCCAGCCCCGGGGTGGCTCCTGCCTGCACAGCCACCCTTTGGCTGCCCTGCAACCCCTCTGCTCCCCCTGCCACCGATCCCAGCTGGTGCAATGCCAACTCTGCTGACCCCCTCGGGGCTGGGAGGGGGCCGGGATGCTCAGTGCAGCCCCCCTCACTTTCAAGGGCTGATTCACCTCCCCCAAGAGCTGTTCTTTGCACACCCCGGTGACTGCGGGGCCCATTTCAGCTTCCCAGGAGGGGAGGTGCCGTTTTCACACCGCCAAAATCAGATCCAACCCCATCCAAAGGCTCTCCCCAGCAACGTGGGAAATGCAGACAAACACTGCCAGCGTGACCCTGAGAGCTGAGGGGTCTCACCCCGGGTCTCTGTCCCCCTGCCAGCACCCCGGTGCCAGCCTGGGTGCCAGGGGCACACTCTCCCTGCCTTTGGGGCACCAGCGTCCTGTTCCAGGCTCTCCGTGGTGCTCCACAGCCGGCCCTGCTGTGCTCTGGCCGGGCACACCCTGCATCCCTTTGTACAGCAGCTTCACGGGGCTTTGGGCTCACTCCAGCACTGTGTGGGAGGAGGGTTTTGGGTTTTTTTTCTTTTTTTTCCAAAAACACGATAACTATTTTACAGTCAAATCTATTCAGTGCAATCCTGGTGAGGAAAAGGCTGCATCCTCACTTTGCTCCTCTCCAAAATCTTTAATTTTGCCAGCAAAGGGGCAAAAGGAGCTTGTGCCAAAGCCAGGGCAGGGAGAGGAGAGCTGGGAGCAGCGACCTCGCTCTGACACCGCCTGCTTGGCTCTCTGGAAATCCTATCCCTGCGTTACATAAGGACCTGGCCCTATCTGGAACGCCGGGGTCATTGCACTTCTCCAAGTGTGGTAAAATGCTCGGAGGTCCTCAGCAGGAAAGCGGGAGGGGAGTGCCAGCTCGGATCCTCCTCGGGATGGGGAGCTGGGCCCGGGCAGGGCTGGAGCTGCCGGAGCAGGGCCACAATTCCAGCCGGGGGCAAGGTGGGCACCGAGATTCCAGCGCTGCCATCCTGGGACTCCTCCTGCTTTCGGGAGAGGACTCCACCAGGCAGGTCCACTCTCAGACGGGACTTATGCAATAGTTTGGAGCCTCTCCATGTGACCCAGACTTGCTGGCGCTCTGCCATCGCTCTCCTCGCTGGCTGCAGCCAGGCACAGAGCGGCGGGATTAGAGAGAGGCCGGGCGGTCATTAGCGGCGTGCCACTCATTAACGGCGTGTTAGTCATTAACGGAGTGCCAGGCATTAACGGTGCATCCCCCACCGCACAGGGACACACATGTCCCACGAGTGAAGGGACACGCGTGTCACCCCCATGCACCCAGGGCACAGCTGCAGCTGCTTGTGTGCAAGGGGATGGGGACCCGTGGAGTTTTTATGTGGATTAAACGCTATTTGCACATAGATACACGTTATCTGCATGTGATAACACGTTATCAGCATGAGGAAACACGTTATCTGCATGGGGATAGATATTGTCTGCATGGGGATAGATATTATCTGCACATGGATACATGTTATCTGCATGTGATAACACATTATCAGCATGAGGATACACACTGTCTGCATGGAATAGATCTTATCTGCACGGGCACAGACATATTCTGGGCATGGATACATGTTATTCGCATGTGATAACCTGTTATCAGCATGAAATACATGCTATCTGCATGGGAATACACATTATCTGCATGGGGATAGATGTTATCTGCACACAGATACATGTTGATAACTCTGTCTGCACACACTATCTGCAGACAGTCTGGTGCCCACCCCTCAGTGCCCTGCCATCCATGGAATACAGATATTCCATGCACAAATGCCAATTTTACACCTTGCATCTCCGTGGCTGCCTCTGCCCCCATGAAATGCTCCGTCTGAGTGGGCTTCAGCACAGCCAGGAGAGAATCCAGACCTCCAGGGCCTGTGCACAGGCAGCTCTCCCTGAGCTCCTGCTGCTCCTCCCGGCACGGAGCAGCACCAGGGCTCTGCCAGGAAAGGGCTCCGGGAAAGGCTGGGAGCGCTCACACCTCGGAGCGGGCAGGGAAGGAGAGGCAGACTCAGCCACCTCCATCCCGGCAGGGCTGGCTCATTCCCACCCCGGCAGGGCTGACTCCTCTCCATCCCCGCACCGCTGGTTCCTCTCTCCATCCCGGCAGAGCCGATTCCTCTCCCCATCCAGGCGGGGCTGGCTTCTCTCCATCTTGGCACTGCTGGCCCTTCTCCCCATCCTGGCACTGCTGGTTCCTCTCCATCCCGGCAGAGCTGGGTCCTCTCTCCATCCCGGCAGAGCTGGTTTCTTTCTCCATCCCGGCACTGCTGGCTCCTCTCTCCATCCCGGCAGAGCTGGTTTCTTTCTCCATCCCGGCACTGCTGGCTCCTCTCTCCATCCCGGCAGGGCTGGTTCTCATCCCCATCCCGGCAGGGCTGGCTCCCGCAGCTCCCCTCCAGCCGTCCCGGTGCTTACACAACCCAGCCCCGCAGGGCACCGAGCCCTGGGCTTGCATAAAGACAAACACCCTGGTGTGCCAACAGCGAGCTGGGCTCACCTGCGTAACCAGGAGGGAGCTGCTCCGTGCTGTGAGCCCCGGCTGAGGCAGGGTTGTGTGGTTTATGCAGCCCCAGCTCCCAGGCTGCTGTCACAGCTCTCACACCGAGTGTCACACCTGAAATTTGGCTCTTTGTCAGCCAGGCTGAAGGACAGGGCCATACCTCAGTACAGGATGGTTTGGGTGAGAAGGGATCTTAAAGCTCATTTAGTTCCATTCCCCTGCCATGGCAGAGATACCTTCCACTGTCCCAGGCTGCTCCCAGCCCTGCCCAGCCTGGCCTTGGGCACTGCCAGGGATCCAGGGGCAGCCACAGCTGCTCTGGGCACCCCAAGCCAGGGCCTGCCCACCCTGCCAGGGAACAAAGACATGTCTGGTTATTAGGCTGGATGGGCACAGTCCTCCTACAGCCCCTGTCACCAGGTGCCACACCTTGTGCACCCACAGTCCCAGGCTGGAGCTGGAGAGAGGACAACTCTGCTGAACTTCCCAAAAATAGCTCCTGAGGTGACTCCTGCTGCCCAGCAGAGCTGGAAGAAGCACTGAGGCACCTGCAGTGAGCCCAGGGCTCAGCAGCTCCTTCTGCCACTGTCACAGCACAGCCTCAGCCAGCACTGCCCCAGCAGTGGCCAGCCCTGGCCAGGGGGAGGGATCCACAGCATGGCCCAGCGCCAGCTCCCCTCGGGCTGAGCTGATCCTGCCAGGCTGAATTAAAGAATGAGTGAGGTTGGAAGCCACACAAGGGGGTCTCTGGTCCCATGCCACTCTCAGAACTGAGTTCCCTTTGTGTTAGATCAGGACCTCACAGCCCAGCCTGTCCCAGAGGGGCACAGGAGGAAATGCAGGGAGCTTGGAGTGGGACCCTAAAGCAGCAAAGCCAATTTGGACCTGCCTGTCCTGCCAGGAAACCAGAACCAGCCAGAGAAGGGATGACACAGAGAAAGTGTCCTCCCAGAGCAGGACAAACCAGGGAGGGATTTGGTGACAGCCAAGGTAACAGTGGGTGCAAGGCCATGGGATCACCCCAGGGTCCCCTCAGGGCAGGGCAGTGACCATGGCAGAGGCACCCACAGTCCCAAGCCAGCTCACCCTGATACATTGGGGTTTAGGCTTTTCTGTTCTGTTTTGGTGTGTAGCTTTTAGCTTTATATTAAGGATATATGTAGGATACATAGGAGATATCTATATCTATCTATATCTATATCTATATCTATATCTATATCTATATCTATATCTATATCTATATCTATATCTCTATATATATATCTCCCCTATAATGTAGATATATATATTCATATTAAAATATATAAAAATATCCCATATCTTATATCTATCTATCTATCTATCTATCTATCTATCTATCTATCTATCTATCTATCTATCTATCTATCTCTATATCTATAGATCTCCTGTATCTAATATCCTATATATACAATATACATAGGATATATATATAGGACACAGAATTTATACTAGGATCTTTTCACAGGCTGGTGAAGACAAAACAATCCTATTCTAGCTGGAGACTCAAGGACAATCCCTTCAAACTTCAGGCCCAAAGCACAAACAACATGAAAAGAGGAGGGCAGGTAATAAAGCAAGGAGGATGAAACTTCATCATTTGAACTTGTTAATTGGACAGTTAACTCCTGCATGCAAATGGACTAAAACTTATAAAAATGTGCGATATTGTGACCAAGCCCCTTTTTGCTTCCATCTTGGAGCCCCCTGGGCAGAGCCACGGCTGTGGCTCCAGCACTGCCAGGGTGTGGCCTTGGAAGGCACTGCAATAAATCCACTTTATTCCTCTGAACTCCCTCTAGCCTCTCTTCCAGCTCTTCAAGGCATCACCCCCATGCCAGGGGAGCCCTGCAGGAGCAGGGATGCCTCCTGTGGGATGAAGCCTTGCAGAACACTTTAGCTGTGGGATCCTTCCAGCCCTTACAGACCTGCAGATTGTGTCCAGCTCCAGCTCCTTGGGAGCTCCAGATCTGCTGGGCAGGATTTTGGGCCTTTTTCCCCTCCCTGTAGGTTCTTTACTCAGGGAAATGTGGCCCAGGTGGTGTGGCCCAGAGGAAGCTCCTTCCTCCATGGCCAGGGAATGAAGAGTCCCTAACCCTGACAGGACTGAACTCATCCTCTGCATTTACATTTTGGTCAAAGCCACTGTTCACAGAGGTCACAAATCCCAGGAAGAGGCCAGAACTTCACCTGCCAGTTCAGTTCATTTGGGACCAATATTATAAATGTTTGAGTTCAGAAAGATTTGCAGGACTGCACAGGAATAGATTAATTTAAAGTAATTTTTCCTTTTAAATTAAGCTACGATGTAAGAGTAGGAAACACAATATTGATAATTGTGATAAACAGAAGTGTAAAGCTGTGGATGTCCCATCCCTGGAAGTGTCCAAGGCCAAGCTGGACAGGGCTTGGAGCAATCTGGGGCAGTGGAAGGTGTCCCTGTCCAAGGCAGGGGTGGGACTGGATGAGCTTTAAGGTTCCTTCCAACCCAAACCATTCCATGATTCCATGAAAGACTCTGAGTAGTCAGACATGGAATATCCCAAACATTTCCCAGCCTGGGAGGATGCAGAAGGTGAGAGAGGAGCAGCAATGGAGCAGCTGGATGGAGACCATGCACTGATGTTGCTCCACTGAAGTCAGACAGAGCTAAAATATTCCAGCAGTTTCCCAGTGGAGACTGTCCCAACCCTTCAGCTGCCTGCAGACTTCACTGAAGGCCCTCACAGGAACCAAGATGGGAAAGTTGGCTTGGATGGTGTCCCTTTAAACCTCAGTGCTGGAAAACAAGGCTGCATCCAGGCTGGTGGTTTTCCATGTGTCTCTCTCCCACATGGGACCCAACCTGCTCACAGATTCCTGGGAAATGCTTGTAACTCCTCGCCCTGCAAACATTTCCTACAGTGGTGGGGTCAGGCAAAGACCTCTGTGCCTTGGGTTTCTTCAGCACACCTGAGCTGACATCACCCAGCCAAGTGTTCCTGATGGGTTTGGTCCCAGTCCTGCTTGTTCTAAGCCCATCTCGTGTTAACCCAAGACCGAGGCAGGGCAGGACGTGACCGACACATCCTGCACTGCTCCCAGCTCAGAAGGAACTCATTGCTGGAAACTCGGCAACAAAAGAGGGGTTTGGAGTCGGGGGTTTCAGATAAGATGGAGATAAGGGTTTGCATGGAATCACCCTGCGCTGAGGACCCTCCATGGAGCTGCTCCTTCAGGAAGAAGAGGATTCCATGGACCAGGATTCCATGGAATGGTGAGAACAGCAGCTCCTCCCCAGCAGCCCCTGGGTGGCCTGGAGCCATGGGTGATAAGAGAGCCTCTCATGTTTCAGGTTGGAGGAACAGACACTGTTTATGCTGAGCAGCACCACCTTCCTCCCCTCAGGGCTCCTCTTCAGCCTCTCGGCGGCTGCTCAGGCCCGGCTTATCGGGGCCTCCCGGTGCCAAAGGAAACAGCTCAGCCCCCCAGCCTCATCCGGGCAGAGCTGATTTGCAGGAGATGACAGCACCTTTCCCATTCCCCGCGTGGGGAATGCAGCTGGAGCCGCCCCAAAGAGGCGCCGGGAGGTTTTTGGGATCTCGGGAGGAGGAGGGGAGCAGAGGGTGCTGCCCTGGGGCCAAGCAGGAACAGAGGGAGGCTGAGGATGGAGCAACTGGAGCACTCAGCACGTTCCATATATGGAGAAACTTTGGGAACAACCTCCCCAGGGCTGCGGGAAGCCTCACTGATGGAGGCATTTCGGAGCAGTCCCGGCAAGGCTGGTCCCAACCGGGGGAAATTCCCAGTGCTGGGAATCACCTGGGTGTCCCACAGAGCGTTCCCCCTTCCACCTGAGGGAGCAGAGGCTCCCCAAGCCCTCCATGCCATGCCCAGCATCCACCCTGGCACCACTGGGTGCTGCTAAGGAGGATAAAACCAGAAGGAGCACGACAGGAACCAGAGCTCTGCTGGTCTCCAGTACCAGGGATGTTGGCAGGGATTGCAGCAGGAACACAAATGCCCCCTGAGGTTTGCATTTTGACCACAAAAGAAGTCCCCAAAAATGGGCCTCGCTGTGAAATGTTATATTTACCTGCCCCCAGCACAGCTCCACACTTCCCCTTGGTTGGTTCTTCCCCTCTGGAAGATATTTGCCAAAGTTGTTTTATAAACTCCTTTCTATTTATAGCCCAGCTCCTTCAGCGCTAATGAGATAATCTTCTGGCATCTCACACCACTAATATTTACTTTGATGTTTAAAATAACATCTTCTGAGGGATCGATTTTTTAAAAAAAGTAATTTAAAAAGCACCTTTAAATCATAATCAAAGCAAAGAAAGAACCGAGCAGAGCAGTGGGGCCGAGCTCCTGGGGATGCACAAAGTCAGTGACACTGCAACTTTTTCAGGGCAGACTTTTATAATCCTCTGAGCACATCAGGAGGGAGAGAGGCATTGGCAGCTCCTGAAGATGGAGAGAGAGACAGGGAAAGAGGGAGAGGGAGCGCGGGCTGTGTTTATTCTCAGGAATGAAGGCAGCAAGGAGCGTTTCATTCTGCAGCAGGGCTCGGAGCTGCTGCTCTCTGTAATTGAGAGCTTCGCCCCGGGCAGCTCAGCAGAGCAGATTTGGGGTTTAGAGAGGCAAACATTCGATCCCGGGGTTAATGCAATTAAAAAGAAGGGCTGGGGGAGGCGAGGGAGGCAGCACCAGAGCCCGGCTCCCGCTGCCTGCAGCCACTTTGAAACACAAGCCTGCGTTTTTATGGAAACTCTGAATGTTGGAGAAGGGTGAACATGGTTTTCATTCTCATAAATGTTTTTCCAGCGTGCAAGGCTCTCCGGGCTCATTCCTTCTCCAGGGAGACGGTTCTGATTTCAAAGAACATTCGCGTTCCCTCCACCCCAGACCACCCCACTCCAACCTCAAAGAGTCTCCTCTGGAAAAATTATTTTAAAGAGTGTTTTACCTTTTTGAGTGCTTTCCCTTCTTTCTTCTTTTTTCCCCCTCCTTTTAATTCCTTCAGCTTCTCTTTTTTTTTTTTTCCCCTCTTCTTTTTCCCAGCAGCAGCCAAAAGCTCCTCTCTCCCCCTCAGCCCTGCGTGTGTCAGAAAGTTTCCAGGCTGAGGGTTTGTGTTGCCTTCCTTAAGAAACTTCTTCTGTCAGACCCAGGCAGAGCTGGAGTTGGAGGCTTTGCTAAAAAGTCTCCTTTCAGGAAGTGAGCAGTAATAAGAGAGTGGCTCGGAGGCAGCACATGGATAGGGGCTGCTGGAGAAAAAAAAAAAAAAAAAAAAAAAATAAAAAAAAAAAAAAAAAAAGAAAATCCCCAAAGCCACAAAGCTGGAAAAGTCCCGCCCTGAGTGCTGACATCAGTGCAGAAGGCAGGTCTTGGCTGGAGCAGTATAAAACTAGTCAGCCTTTCTGTGGAGGAGCAGGGAGGGAGCTCGGGGCAGCCCTGGAGGCGATGCTGGGGCTCCCCAGTGGATAAAACCCCCCAGGAAAAGCCAGAAAGGAAAGAGGCCGTGCTGCTGGTGGCACACCAAGCAGATAAAGCAAGGCTGCGTTGGCTTTGGTTCGGTGGTTTTTTTATCCCCCCCAACAACAAACAACACCCCCATCGCGCATTTTAACCGGAGCTTTCCCAACGCTTTTAAAAACGCGGGGACAGTATGAGGAAAAGGCCTGAAAGGCTGCACAGCAATGGCAGGGACTGGCTGTGAATCCAAAAAAAGCCCTCAGGAGCTCGCCAGTGTTTTCAGAAGCGCCTTGCCTCCGCAGTTACATCATTCCTGCCCCGCTGGCTCCGGGACTGCGGCGTTCTCCTGCCCTCTGCCACCGTGGAGTGTCCCCCGAGGGCAATGCCCCCACCCCAGAGCAAAGAATAACCCCTGGGAATAACCAAACAACCCCTCGCTGGACACCTCAGCAATAAAAGGCAGGAGCTCATTTCCTCCTTCCTTCTGAAGGCGGCTCTGGGATTTCAGAGCTGGGTTTGTGAGCCTTGGTGGAGAGAGAATTACCTGGCAGTGCTGCAAAGGCTGGAAAAATGAGCCTTTTCCGAGCTGCCCTGCTTTTCCCTGGGAAGAGAGAGGGGCCCTGGGGAAGGACACAGGGGAAGGATGGAAGCACCAGGGTGAGGATGGACCCCCATCCTGGTGGGGACAGAGCAACCCCAAAACCACCCTGGCATTGCTTTTTCCTCCAGGAGGATTTGAATGAAGAGTTAAGGGGTGAAATGTTGACAGGGGAACATGCAACATATAAAAAAAAAATTATATATATATATATATATACACACACATATAAAAATATATAAAACACATATTAAACATTAAATACAATAAAATAACATGTTAAGTTTATATTAAAATATATAGATTAACTATTATATTAAAATATATTAAAACATCAATTAAATTTATAGATTAAATTAAATATTAAATATATATTAAATAAATGTATTACATATTATATTAACTATAGATTAAGGTATATTATATATGTATTAAATAAATGTATAACATATTATATTAACTATAGGTTAAGATATATTATATATGTATTAAAGCAAACTCCCTGAACCTGAGACCCCAGGAGAGGATTGCAGGGGAGCTTTGGGAGAGCAAGACAGGATTTGCATCCCTGGGCAGTTGGTGTGGATGCCAAGTGCAGGACAGCCCTGGCAGCCTCATGTCCTGCCCTGACCTTTGCAGGCACAGCTGGTGCCAAAGCCACGGGACACAGCCCTGGGCAGCCAGAGCTCCTGGCCACGGTCCCTGGTGCCACCCAGGCTGCCCCAGCAGCCACCAGACCATGAGATGGGCATGGAGAAAGAAAAAAGCCTCAAAGGCCTGGCCAGCCCTGTGTCCTGATGGGATGCTGGCCCAAAAAACCCTCAAAAACAACAAACAAAAAAAGAAAAAGGGATGAAGGAAAAAGCAAGAAGTTGTGGTACTTTTTGTGGTGGATCCCCCTAAATCCTCTGCTATCAGCAAAGCAGGATGAACCTGACCTGGAGCTGCACCAGCCCTAATTCATGTTCTGCCATAAATTTGTTTTTTTGAGCCCTCTGAACTCCCCTCCTGGGAAGGAGCAGCAGCAGGAGATGCCCAGGAGCGACCTCCTGAGTCCCCCTGAGCTGCCTGGAAGGTTTGCTGATCCAAATAGCCCAGAAAAAACAGGAAAAACATCCTTTGCTCCCAGGAGGAGCTGGCTGAGGGTGGGAGATCACAGCCCCCAGCTCCACTCCAGCCACTCTCTCTGTGCAGACTGGAAAGGGCTGGCTCTGCACTGGAAAAAAGAGTTCAAAAGGGACTGGGATTGATTGCTGGGCTGGATTTTGGGCCAGTTCCCTGGCTGGGTGGACAGAGTGGTTTCCTTCCTCCCCAGGCCACGCTGGCCATTGTCTGAGCCCCCAGAGCACACCCAGAAAAGAGCAACTGAACAAAATATTTGGGGTTTAATTGAATGGTGCTGCTGCTGGCCAAGGAAAAACTAATTGCTGCAAGTGTGGCCTGGTGCCATTCCAGGGGTGTTCTGTCTGCTGGAGCTTGTCTCAAACACACTCTGTGTGGAATGAACAGGGACAGAGGGGCAGATTTCCTTCCCCAGAGAGTGGCTCTGTTCTGCCAGACCCTTTGGAAAACTTGTTTTTCCCTGATTCACAGGGTTTCCAGTCCCTCCTGGGTGGTAAATACAGAGTCAGACTCTCCTGGCTTACAAGGCAAATTCCCCCAGCCCTGTACCCCAACCCAGCAGTGCTTTGAGCACCCTCATATTTGTACCAGACCAGCTCCAAAAATGGGCTTTACTCCAGTCCTCACCTGTCTCTGAGGAGGGGATGGAGCAGCACAACCCTGACAAGCCCAGACCTCCATCATCTGCACAAATCCTGGAAAACAGGGAATGCTAAAATTACCAGAGGGTCACAGCAAAGAGGAGGAGATGATAAACAGCATAAAGAATAGAAATTTTCAGTCCCTGAGGCTGCTAGAAAGTTTATTTTTCAGATTAGTTTGATATCAGAAAAATCTGATACCTGAAAAATCCGAAGATCAGCCTGAATAAATGGTTTCACGGGGCAACCAACAATTCCCATTGAATCTCCAAAATCACCCAGCTGCTTCCTCTCCCTAGCATGAGGAGACGAGGCTGAATTTCCATCAGAGATTTGCAATCCTCGCTGTCCGGGGGGATGGAGAGGAGCCGGGAGCAGCCCGGTGACACTGCACCCTCCTGTGGCTGCACGGGGCGGCCGGGGCTGCCGGCATCCTGAAACAACGGCGGGAGGATGGAAACACCTCGGGGTGGGGGAAACACTTCCAGGATGATGAAAACTCCCTTAGGATGATGGAAACCCTGCTGGGATCCTGAAACCCCCCAGGATGATGTGCACCCCATTGGGATGCTGCAAACCCTGCCAGAATGATGGAACCACTTCCAGGATGATGGAAACTTTCCCAGGATGATGGAAACCCCAGCAGGATCCTGAACCCCCTTGGGATGATGGAAACCCTGGTGGGATGATGGAAACACTTCCAGGATGATGGAAACCCCTCAGGATGATGGAAACCCCACCGGGATCCTGGAAGAAACAGTGGGATCCTGAAACCCCTCGGGATGATGGATCTCCTTGGGGTGATGGAAACCCTGGTGGGATGACGGAAACCACGTGGGAGGGTGATGGAAAGGATGATGTAAAGCCCCTCAGGATCATGGAAACCCCCTTGGGATGATGGACTGAACCCTCCCAGGATGATGGAAACCCCAGTGGGATCCTGCAAACCCTGCTGGGATGATGGAAACCCTGGAGGATGATGGAAACATTTCCAGGATGATGGAACCCCCTCGGGATGATGGAAACCCTGCTGGAATGATGGACTGAACACCTCAGGATGATGGAAATCCCAGTGGGATGCTGCAAGCCCTGCTGGGATGATGGAACCTCTCCAGAATGATGGAACCCCCCAGGATGATGGAAACCCCTCAGGATGATGAAACCCCCCCCAGGATGCTGGAAGCCCCTCTGGGCTGCTGGCCTGAACCCCAGGGAAGCACAAAGGCTGACACTTCCAGGCCAATTTGGTGCTGCCCAGCGTTGCTGGATGGTGCCCAACGCGTCCAACCCTCACCACACCAAGGCCAGGGCTCGTCTGGAGGCTTGAAAATGCTGCAGACTCTGTCCTGGTTGCCATTAGGACACACAGGGAACGCTGCTGAGGCCTGACGGGGTAATTCTGTGTAAGCATTTTGTACATAAAATGAAATATTCTCCCTGCCTTGCTATGTCTGAACTGCAGGGCCTGGGCAGAGTTCCCAGCTCTGGCTCTACATCACAGCCTGGCCCCAAGTCCGTGTTGGGACAAGCTCCTTGGCCACAGACTCACCCTTTTTATGGCTGTTCAGCACCCAACACAACAAAGCTCCATTCAGCCCCTCAGCTACTGCAGCAATAAACAAAGTGCTCGGCTTTGTTTGGAGCCCAGAGGCTGCAGGTTGGGAACCTGCGAGTGAAACAAGCTGGAAACAAACGGGTTTGTTTTTCCACCGGGGCACAGACATGTAAACTAATTGCCCAACAGTAAAGCCGGGCTTAATTAGTCCCAGGTGTTAAATAAAATGGGCTTGGTGTTTCCCAAAAGTGTAACTCTGGCTTGAAGGAGGCACAGGCTTTGAGAGCAGAGCCATCAGAAGTGATTATCGAGATCCCTGTGCCTGATCCCAGAATTTTGGGGGGATTTTGGGGCAAAGGACCCAAAATCAGGTGGGTTTTGACAAGGGCACTGCAGTGGGGTGCTGCATTTTCATCTCAGGATCTCACCTTGTCCTTGGAAAAAGCTTTGTTGTGGATTTTTGCGTAAACACTGTGAAGAACTCCACGTGAAAACAAAACCAAAGGGCTCCTGGGGGAAATCAACATTCCATGGGGCTGA